AACCTCATCACCAGAAGCAAACTTCCTCAAGCCCAGAACACACCAAAAGGATCCAGACTGTGCCAGGACAAGAAATGCAAAACCTGCCAGCACGTCTCCACCACCCCCACCATTACTACACCCCACAACAGAGCCATCAGCATCCCAGGATCTTACAGCTGCACCTCCAGAAATGTAATATACCTCATCCAATGCACCAAATGCCCTGATGGAAAATACACAGGAGAGACCAAACAACAACTGCGCACCAGAACGAATGCAAACTGGAAATCTATCAAAGACAGAAATACCCAATTACCGGTGGGGGCAAATTTCTCACAAGAAAACCACTCTCTCTCCAATCTCTCAGTCCTGATCCTCAAAGGAAACTTACAAAACACTTCCCAGAGACAAGCCTATGAACTCCACTTCATCAACCTCCTGGATATTAAAAATCACGGACTAAATACAGACATTGGATTTATGACACATTATAACCTGCCTGACATCTGACTCCCCAGGTATCTCTCCACTTTCCTCCCCCTTCTCTCTCTTCCCTCCCCCTCCCCGGCCTGTCTCTCACCCATTGACTCCTCAATCTACATTTTCACTGACTACCTGTCTTGCATGCAGACCAGCCCAGCCGCTGGCTTCTTTACTTTTCATTGCATCCAGGAAGAACACACACCAACTGCTGAAACTTCCTTAGCCTGACAAAGGGTTTTTGAACCTGAAAGCTTGCTTAATAATTATTTTCCAACTATTTGAGTTGATCTAATAAAAGATATCAGATTCACCCAAGGAACCTTATCTGCCTATGTCCTTAGACCAACACAGCTACAACCTACATTCCATGACTATTGAGGCACTTTTGATCCTGATCCAAATCACAAAAACCATGCCAGAAGAATGAGTAGGTCTCTGAACCCTGCTGGTGCTCAGGCGGGACACAGCAAGTAAAACTCTAGCAATATCAACAAGATGAAGTGTTGTCCAGAGTAGCAGACACAATGGGCCAAAGGGCAGGGTAGCAGACACATTGGGCCTGTATTTCCAAACAAGTTAAGCACCCAACATCTCTCAACACCAAAATATCAAGGTAGCCTCTAAAACCATTGCCTGCACAGTTGTCAATATGCTGAAATCAGAAGAAACAGCATATCATCATGCTATCTAGAACTTGTATCCCTTGTGTAAAGAACACAGAGGCAGTGGCGTAAATGCCTCCATCTTGTATACATACTCCATTACATAAAGGTTGGAACTCTTCAATACAAAGTAATCTGTGCACCAACTTTAATGTTCTCTTCTGAGAGCTAGAGAAATGTAACAAATGCCAACTTGAGCCATCTGCTACCAAAGGCACATAAAGACCCACATCTTAAGACCCCAAATTTTAAGATTCTAAAAATTTGATGACAAGATTCCTCCCAAGATGTCTCCCCCTAAAAGAAAAGTGAAAAGGAGAACAAAGGAGAGAGACAGAGAGAGAGAGAGAGAGAGAGAGAGAGAGAGAGAGAGAATGCCACACAGGATGAGAGCCCAAAGGAGAAGGCAATCTCAAATTCACCTCAAATCACAAAATTCTTAGTGTGTGAAATTAAAAATAAGCTTCTCATAGTTTATCATCCCGAACACTGGAACATTTCATGTGACAAAGTAACTGTCTTCCACTTACACACAGAGACGGGTAACACAGGCAAAGCCTCCAACTTCAGTCTAAATAAACAGAGATGCTTAAGGACCAAGTAAATGTCCTCAGGCTCGGTCAGGTCACATGCTTCAAACAGAAAGCAACTGACTGATGCTTCTACTAATAGACAGGAAAATCTCTGATTTAGTATTCTCTGGCGCAGCAGTGCTTCTGGAATCCCTACATGAACTGGAGACTACAGACAGAACTAACTTAGCAACTAAACTATATGTAAAAATGCAAAAGACTTGTCTGAAATAAAACAACTGAAAAAGCCAGAACAGCAGAAGATAAAGTTTGGTGTGCAGCACCTGTAAGAGGGCTCTTACATTGCCTGCGGGCAGAAGAATTCGCTGACAAGGTTCAAGGTGAATCCAAAGCAGCTGCATTGAGGGGGGGAGGGAGGATAGACAGTGGAAGAGTTCACGCCCAACCAATAAAAGTCCAAATTTTTAAGAGCCTGGGGAGTTCTGAGTTGTCTTGTAGGAATATGAGACCTATGAACAAAAAACTATGTATAGGTGGTACCTTTAAAGATTTAGACTATTAAAATTTCAGTACTCAGATAAGGAAAAATAAGGACATAATAGCAAAACCCTACCTGAATAAAAATGCAAGCAAAAAGGGAAAAGATGTTATTTTTTAGATTTGAATTTCATTTTAATGCAGCTGTATTTTAGACTACCCCAAGATTCTACTGACCTGTGGATACTCAGCTCTTCTAAATCATCAGGCCACCCATAGGAACCTAAATATGGATTTTGGAACCTAATTTTGACCATTTTGGCCCAAGGTAATGAAAAAATATTAATCTGTTGCTATGTAAGATTAACAGAATCATGCAAATAAAAACAGTCCACTTTATGAAAAATACAAGTTACCTGGTGGTAAATCAGGATCAGAAGGAGAAGCTTGCTGGATTCGGCGTGGTTTCACCGTTGATTTTGCACTCTCTGTGGTACTACGGTTTGAACTGGAACCACAGCTCTCATGGTCTTCCTGTATATTAGCCAAAATAATTCATCTGAATTAGTCTAACATAGTGTGAAAGAAAACATGTCTGAAAAATAACCAACTATAAGGATTTACTATTACTAGACTTAAAATACTTGTCAATTTTATTCCTTGAGATCACAGTTAGTGTATTTACATGAGAATTTCATATGAAAGTTTGGGATCACCTAGAAAGTATTAAACAGTTGAAATTGGATCACAAGTTGTAAGTTTTACTGAAATTATGTTACTGTATTACATTTGTTAAATTAACTGCAGTTCAGGTAAAGCATCCCTAAACATTAAATAAAAGCCCATATACTACAAAATAAATTTGAGAAACTATCTGCTTTTATCAGACTAAGAATTTGCTCATGAAAACCTAGAACAGTTGTAATGTCAGCCACATCCTTTCTAAAATAAAGCTATTTGAAATTGCCCCATGAAGCAAGTAGAGCTGGAGTATTGTTGTAGCCATGATGGTCCAAGAAATGTACAAGATGCAAGGGTTTTTTTTTTGTGATACACAGTTGGTCCAACAAAAGGTATTTGGGAGAGATGGACAAGCTTTTAGGAATAAAGTGCTCTTCAGACCCTTTCCTCTCATGAAGCAACATATTAATCTCAACCCCCTAAAAAAGCAAACCTTAAAACTACCCTAAAATAGATAAGACAAAAGAAGCCACTGTTCATCTTAACATCTTAAATCACTAATTTACCTTTTGTAGCTTAAAAATAGAAAACATGGCTTATTCATAAAATAAAATAAAATAAATAATTGCAATACACAGTCACAATATGGGCATTAGGGTTGCAGGTACATTCCAGAATAAGATTTACTTGCCAAGACACAAATGTTAGAAAACCCAAGAAATGCTGATAAAGAGCCTCTTTCAAGGATATTAATGTTACAAGGAAGAAAGAGAAGGAAACAGTTATGCCTATCTTGAACCATGTTTCCATTACGGAAGTTGCAGTATCTTACACCTTCAGACATCCTTCCCCACTCATATCAACATGATCTCTGCTTAGCAGCCGTAATTACTCACTGGAACACGGTGCTACCCAGATGACAAGGGTTTACTGGGATATATGTACAGAAGTTCTGCTATGAAGCTATTGGTAAGAAAATGTGATAAAAAAACATAATTACTGGCCTGCAGGCACCACTCAGAAAATGCCAATTTTTAGTTTTCACTCTTATTTTGCCTACAGAAAAATACAGCCGTTTTTCTGCTGCAAAGAACTCAAAAAGACCATAAGTATGGATTTCTATTTGTAATCTCTAGATTTATCTTGTGATTCATCTTTGCACACCTAACAGTGCTAAAACTGCATGGAACCCCACAGTACCTTTGAAAGGATCTCAAAGCACCACAACCAGCTGAATCACTGGTCTAAACAGTCCTCAGACAGCACCATAATGTTGTTTGGATTTCTAATGTGCTTTGTTTAATGCCTTGTACAAATTATTCAAGTAGACCCTAACTCCCAGTTTCTTGGCTATTCAAGTTTTCCTCAACAAAAAATATTGAAGACGTACATAAATATCTGTCTCAAAGTCTCAAAAACACTCAAAGGAATTGTATTTTATTTCCAGATCATATTTAAGAAATGGAAAAAAAAACAAGGAAGGAAAATTTTATAATTTCTAGCATTACATAAGTGAGAACAAAGTTTCCCAAACCCTTCCAGAAGGTACAAGTGTTTATAATTTGGGCTAAGTATAGACAGTCAAAATCTCCAGGCTGAATGATTCAATGTTTGCAGGTCAGTCTAAGCTGCACAGAGTGAACCAATCAGCAAGTGAGCATTCATTCACTTTTGATTCAAGAAAAGCAGCCATATGCCTGCAGTAGTTCAGGCCAGAAGCTGGGTATGCTAGAGCACACCCTCCCTGCTCACCTGGAGCAGACGGCTTGGACCAAGGCTAGCCTGCTCACCCTGGAAGGGGTGGTTTGTGGGGGAGGTGCAAAGCATCCTGGGATGCTAGTGGTCACTGAGTTAACTTGAATGTGAAGGGGATAGAAGTTCAATAAGCCAATTTAACCTAAATCAGTAAAGTCTGATTAAATTAAATTGAAGTAAATTATCCATCCAGGTTTCTCGTAAACCTGTTTCAGCCATTTTGGAAGTGGTTTATGTGCAATGAACTTTTGTTGTGTTACAGATTTGAACCAGCTTCTGTTCATTTATACTGGTTTATGTGCAATTTCTGTCCCTAGCCTTAAAGGCAACAAATCTGCTTTTCAGAAGTAAGAATGCACTGGTGTTTCAAAAGGGCTAGGAGTACCACTCCTCTTAAAAGGACCAAAAATGAGAATGCTGAACAACATTCTAACAGCCCCTTCCTCTATATTTCTGTATAAAGCTCACTGCAGCCAGGATGTTAGCAAAGGATCGTACAGAGGAGTCAGTTCATTTATATTTATCTTTTGACCTTACAAAAGCAAGAGATGCCCTGGCAACCACAAGGCTTGATTTTTGTAATTCCCTTTTTCCCAAGGTCACAACTTGAACAGAATGTTGTGGTAGATCTACTTACTGGTGTGACCTACTACTATCATATGATGCTTACCATGGGATATTTATGTTGGCTGCCAACACAAAGACAGATTATATTCAAATCGGTATTGCTTTTCTTTTTTTAAAGCTCTTAAATGCAGCCAGGATCAACACAGTTAAGACCTACTTTTCTGATTTTCTACTGACCAGCATGCATACTCACAAGTCACATGACATTTAAGATTTTGCATGTGCTGTTGGCCTTCTACAGAGAATTGCACATATTTAAGTCTAATGCAAACAGTACAGAATGTATTGATGCTTACTCTTCTTCATTTATTAGTCCTTATTCCTCTTCAAAAATACCTTAAAGCATTTTCTTCTTCCTCTATAGCTTATTTAAAGCTTCTCTTTCCAATGTTTAAACACAGATAAACAGAAGTGACTGAGTTCAGTTAAAAAAAATAAAATCTCTTTTTTTTGTTATAGCATTCATTTTCCTTAACAGTGAGTGTTATTGCAACAAAATACTGCAATCATTTGTTTAGTGCATTGGATAAACAGGGAAGTAAAAAAACCCCCAAACTTTAAGATGCTGACAAAACTATGCACAAAAATTAGTTTTGAAATTACATATATTTGACTATTATGAAATTAATAGCCACCTATTAGTCATTCCCAGACATGACTACTTTAGCAATACATATTTTGCTCTGCCCTGTAAAAGATTCAACATGATGTAACATTCGTTTAAAATAATGCTATTTAGGTTTAGATAATATGCATTCGTTTCCTGAAACTTTTACACTGAGTATTTTATTTTAAAATTAATTATTTTACAAACTGCTATTAATATTTTACCAAACAAATGTCATATTTTTTTAGTTACTAAAAGATAACTACTGTGGCCATGACCTTACAGGAACTATGTTCCCACACAGTCCTACTTTCATCCCAAAGTTTTTTGTAGTTGTACACTTCTGCTCAATGTTAAGTTTAAAAGCACACTATTAATTTTTCAAACATGTGGCCATCTCATAAGCCCAGAAGTAAAGCGTGTTCATTAAAGAGATGTGAAAAAGTTCCAAATGAACTGCCAAAACTAGCATAATTATGAAAATATTTAACACTGGAACCAACTGAAATCACACACCGTATATAGATCACAGTGATGTCATAATAAACATCCCAGCCAAAATGAACTAAAACTACTACAGTCTAATAAATCTAGCTCACACCAGATGACAAACATTTTAAAGTTAGACAAACAATTATACTGGGGGAGAGGTGTGGGGCAAGGGGAAGAGGATGAAGGGTATATTCTAAAACTGTCGTGATCAAACCTACTTCACTGAAGCATGTAAATGCATGTGCATTTCAGCAAGAACAGGAGTTGTTATAAATAACAGTGGCTATTTAACAGCTGAAAAAAAAAGACATGGGTAGTTAAGTGTTGATCTTTAAAGAAAGCAAAAAAGACATCATTTGCTACAACCCATTTTGTAAAGTAAGTATGCAATAAGTAGAGCTTTTAAAATAATTTAAGTTTACTTTTAGCACTAGACATAATTTAAGACCCTGATGTTTTAGGTTGTGATGCACATCAGTGGTGTAACTAGAGTGGGGTGGTCCCAGGCACCAACCAGGAAGGGAGAGGGGAGGAAGGGAGGTGATGCACAGAAAAAGCTGCCACTAAAGCTGCACAATCACACAGGCAGCACGGTAGCAACTGGAAGACAACAGTGCCCCTGTACATGGGAGCTGTTCCAGGACCCCAAGATGCCTCTGATGCATATAATTCTGTCATGTAATGTTATTCATCTACATAAACGTTTGTAGAATCAGGCCTTTTTTCCTAAGCACTTCAAGCCAGAGGTTCCATGATAATGTTGTGTAGACCATGGCATGGTGTACACCTCCACAGGGTGGATAAAGTAAATTAAAATGGTCATTTTGTGAGTTAAATCTGTCTTCTGAAATATATGATAAAATAAAACGGTTGTTGCTACTGTGTCAAGTACAAGTCATATTCGATAGCACTAGAACACACACGATGAGAATCTTTCTATGATCTTGTCTCTAGTGTATTAACTATTTTATTTTAATACAGACAACTTTTTGTTTTCAATTAATTTTAGATTTTGTTCTTATTTCAAACATATGCTTCAGCAATACAGGCTTTGTTTAATTTGCAAGGCTTCCAAGATGACTATTGAGAATACTTCATGGGAGAAGAATGTTTTCTCTTGGGGACCATTTGGCTTTGCTGCAAATAGTGTCTTCTCATGAAACCAAGTAAAAATGTCATTACTTTAAAAAATGGGGGGAAATGAAATTCACAATTGACATTGCTTTTATCACATCAAGAAATTACATTGACACTCCAATTGACTATTATGCAACAACCATTCTGCAAGTTTATGTAAGTCAATGCGTTCCTAATCAGTGTTTTGAACCCTACTCCCCCCCAAATCCTTTCCCCATACCTTCTTACTCATCTT